GAAAGTGCCGCGTCCACAGGCTCCTGGGAGCGGGCACATGCGTTGGGGTGGCACACTTCTGCCTATCACAAGGATTAAGTGGATTTTTAGAAAAAGCAACAGGAAGTTTCTCTCCTTTTTGAAAACTTATCTTTAAAATTGAAATAATGAAGTTGGTTGAGTTCAGGGAATCACTGTTCATTTTTTCAGATGTGCTCATGGTTCTGTGCCTCTTTTCCAGCCCGTATTCTTCAGAACAACGGTGACATTCACGGAAGAACCCTCTGAGGTCTCAGATTTGCTTCGAAGTCATCTGATAGTAAAGGCAGGCAGGGTTGTAGCGCAGAAAAATTGGCCTCGAGTCGGTACTAGAGGAAGCTGCAGAGGGGAGACGTGGGTCTGCTGTGCTTGACGCTTACAATTTTAAAATTTGCCTTTATATTTCTGCCTTTCATTTCTCTACTATCATCTTCTACCTGGAGCCTTAATATCAGTCCATCCCACCACTTTATTTGCATGTCTTTGTGTATCTTATTTCTTCACGTCCTTGTGTGGGGCGGGTACTGACACAGCATGCAGTGCTTCCTGAAGAGCTCACCACACCCTACCCACTGTCATTCCCACTGTGCGGGGGAGGGGAGTGCTTGCCGGGTCGGGGGGATGGCACCCAGACACCGGCTCTGAAGGTCAGGCAGACTGCAGCGTTTCCTGGGGTCCTTTATGCACACCACTCAGCGCAGGCCTTGCTGGAGAACAGACCGTCTCGTGCCCCAACTCCTGGGGCCCTGACAGGAAGGAGGGGTGGGAAGCTCCTGCCTGTCCTGGCCAGGGCCTAACATCCCGGACAAGGGGACACGCGCTCTTGCCGGGCCCCTGTATCACGGGTGGGGCATCGACCTTCTCCCTTTGCCCCTTGCTGTCTCCGCTTCCACTGATTTCCTTGGCACAGGTGAAATGGAGAAAAGAACACAGGGAAAATGGAGAAAACCATTCCAGCTCCGCATTCCACTTTCCCAGCCCAGCCAGAACTGTGCCTCAGTCTCTCGGCAGCTGTGACGCCCACCCTGCTGGGGCCTCCTGTCCGGGCCAAGGCTGAGTCTCCTGCCAGCCCTGGCCTCTGTTGTGTCACCTCCTGGGCCTGCCGCCAGGAGCCCTGCCGCTGCCGGCCGAGTGGCTTTCACCACACCCTGGGGGCCGCAAGGCAGCAGCAGAGGCTGCGCCAGGGGTTGTGCAGCGGACGGAGCAGGCAACTGAGCAGGGCCGCCTGTCCATCCACCTCCTGCCCACGTCGCCCAGGAAGTGGGGTTCCCTCCTCCCTGCTAGCTGCCAGAGAACAGAACAAGGGGACCAGCACGCACGCAGGAGCCGCCGGGCAGAGGGCATACTCAGTGGGGTATGCATGTCCCTCGGCCACCTGGACACATGCTGGGCAAGCGCAGAGTGCTTCCCCAGCCAGACCTGGGGGCTGCTTCCCCAGGCTCAGACTCCGGGTCAGACGCCGCTGCCTCCTCCCGGGGATCATGCACCCCAGCGTGTACCCCAGCTCTCAAAGTACTAACACCATGGAACCCCAACAGCGGAAGGAACAGAGGTGTAGCTCCCGGCTGTGCTCACGCTCACGCTCTCATACTCACACTCGTACTCGTGCTCACACTCATACTGACCGCCATCTTCACACTGGTGCTCACACTCACACTCAGGCTTGCAGCCAGGCAGCGGCAGCCCGGATGCCCATCTGGCTGGTGATTCAGACCTCGCTCCTGCACCAGGCCCAGGGATTATTCAGGACCCAGCTTCTCCCAGCTCAGGGCACCCGTGGGCCTCAACACTTCAAGTCCTCAGTGCAGGAGAAGAGGTGACCAAGGGACCAGGACAGGAGCCGTCGCCAACACTTGCCGAGCCCTCCTCAGGGCTGCCCACTGGTGTGAGCCCTCACTCCCACATGGCTGATGTAGCAGGGGTGCCTTGTAAGAACGCCTGTCCATTCCATGTCTGTCGTGCCTGCCTCTGGATCCTCCCTGGGGGCAGACAGGGACTGGACACAGAGCCCACGGCACCCACACTCAGTCCCCATCAGCAGCTGTACTGTGTGGCAGACCATGCCCTGCCTGGCCAGCCGCCTCCTCTGCCACCAGCTGGGCACCAGCGGCATTTCCTACAGACTCTGGGCCTCCTGGCAGTGGCAGTAGCTTTCTGAGTCCTTTAGCACCTGGGTAAACCCCAGCTGGGCTGGTAGGGACACTGATCCAAAACACAGCAAGGGTGTAAACATTGAAAATGAATTACAGTGACAGACACATTACCAGGAATTGCCCTCAAATCCACTCCCTGGCTTCAAACACGCTCATCCCAGCATCTTCGCCACTTTCTGCAGCAGCTCTGGAGTCCTCTTTCCTGAGGGTCTAGTTGCACTGTCCTGGCTGCCTCAAAGTCCTGACTCAATTCAAAATGTTGACCTTTCAGGGTTATTTTGAGTTTGGGGAAGAGCCAGAAGTCACATGGTGCCAGATCTGGTGACTAAGGTGGATGAGAACACAGCACCCTGTTCTTATGAGCTGCTTTCTGTTGGAGGGGGATCTGCAGAAGCATTCACTATTATTTTTTATCACACTTGGGAAAGACACTTACAAAGGAGGATTTGCAGAGCTGCTGCAGAAATGCACAATGACGAGGACCCACTGCCTGAACTATTTGCTTGATACCTCTTCCCAGCAGCATCTTGGCTGAGACCCAATTTCCCAGCCAGTGGATGGAATGAGGCTTGGAATACATGAGAGATTTCCAGTCCAGCTCAGTAGCTTACCAGACTGCGGAAGAGCTGAGTTATGTCACCTGTCCAGGGCTCAGTTTCCCCAGCAGGGACCTGGGTTTCACTCACATCTATCTTGTAAGGTTTGGAAATGTAGTATGCAAAGGTCTCTTGCCACATTCGTTAAACTGGCGTTAATGCAGTGGCCCCTGGTAGCAGAATAAGAACTGGAGCCCTGTTAATGGAATTTCCTAATCTAGCCTGGATCGTCCAGATAAGGGGAGAGATCTGGCCCGGAATGAACGCTCACTGTCGTGCCCATAGCAGAGCGCCAGGCCAGGGCTTGGCACTGGGAAACCCTGGAGAGGCTGAGCAGATCAGTACGCTAGCATTTGCCTCGTCCTCGAGCCTCACGCCCATGCTGACACGAGTGGCCATCGGGGACGGTGAGCAGCGGGCTGGAAGGAGGTGGTAGCTCATGGGGCGTGGCTGTCGAGGAGAGAGAGATTCAATCAATGGCAGGCTGTCTCTGGTGTCAGGGTTGGGGTTGGGCTGCGGTTGGGTGCATTATCACTCTTGGGTCCACTCTTGGAAACCACAAGGATCCAAGCCCAGTAAAAAAGCTGCTCTCTTCCAGGCGTGGTGGTACACACCTGTAATCACAGCAGTCTGGGAGGCTGAGGCAGGAGGATCGCAAGCTTGAGCACAACCTGGGAAACTTAGGGACTCAGCAAAACCTTGTCCCAAAATCAAATATTAGAAAAAGACTGGGGATGTGGCTCAGTGCAAATGCCCTGGGTTCAATTCCCTGTACAGCCAAAAATAAAAATAAAAATGGCTCTAATAGTCTCAAAAGCTTCTCATTGACCACACCCTAGCAAGCACCGCCCTCTGCAGGCACTTTACTGTGTAACTCAGCCTATGTGGTTGGGAAGCACCCAACACTCTGTCCTCTACAAAGGAGAGAAAGCCACATGAAAGTTGATAGATCATTAGAGAATTTGAGTCAAAGCCCCAGTCCTGAGGTTCTGACTGCCAGTTGCCTCTTGTTGTTTCTGAAAGGGACCAAAATGCCAGGAGGAGGAGGGAGATTTCCATGGGTCCTGCCTCTCTCAGTGGTGGGTCCTGCCTCTCTCAGTGGTGGCCACTGCTCACCTCACTGGTTCACCTCCAGACTGAAAAGAGTAGCACATGGGGTGTGAGCATTACAATTTGTCTGTGGGGTGGAATACTCTACAGCCATTAAAAGTGGTGCTGGGGAACTATTAGACCACAAAATATTAAGTGAAGAGGTAAGATAGAAAACTGTGTATTTAGTAGTAGTCCAGGCTTTAAGGGAAATAAGTGTGCATGTGCAAAGTGCACACACACACACACACACACACACACACACACACTCCAAAGTAGGGGAGACACAGGAAAAGTTGAACTCAAACTTGAATCAGGGTCTCTGTCCTCAGGCTACAGAACAATGATAAAACTTCTGCTTCCACAGGGGACAACAGCTAGCTTGAATTCCCTTCTTTATACCATTATCCGATTTTCTATCTTTACACTATAGGTGTTTGTGCAGGTGGCCTGGCTCTGAGACCCAACACCTCCAGAGGCCCAGGCAACCCTGACCCTGCCGCTCGTCCCCTGCCCTGGAGCAGCGAAGCTCCCGAAATCAACCTGTCTCTGCTTCAAACGGAAACCTGCGTGGGGGACAGGTTTGTTACTGCAACTGTGTTCTTTCTAAGAAGCCAGGCGATCAAACCCAGAGAGAAGAAAGACAGGGGACAAAGGCAGAGAGATAGAACTCTGATTGTCCTTGGGCCCTGGAGTCGGGGAAGAACTTTCCTCATTTGTAACATTTCTACATATTTCTAAATCTCTCTGAGTGTGTTATTTATAATGTTTAGAAGCTTAAACATTCGTAAGAGGAGAGCAGCCATCACTTGATCCTCTCCACAGAAGGGCAAGGAGGGCTTGGTGTCCATGTCCATTGCGCCTGTGGGTCCCAGCGCGGTCGCCCCAGAGGACAGGAGGCCGACTTGCCTCAGCCTCCCTTCTGTGACTCCTCTGTCTCCCTGTGCCTTTCTTTCCTCATCTGACTCTCGCACGTGGACACTGGCACGTGGACACTGGCACAGTGACACTGGCACGGTGACACTGGCCTTGTGTCCTGGACACTCCCCTTCCCTGGAGTCCTTTGTGTGAGAGGAGTGTGAGAAGTCACAGCGGTGACCGCTGCAGGATCCTAACGGCACTCGCAGAGACTCGGGGCCCAGTCTGAGGAGCAAGCGGGTTTATTCTGCATCCTGCGTCTCTAGAGAAGCGAGCTTCTGTCGTTCTCCTCCGGGAGCTGTCAGGCAGCGAGATGACAGCAGGATGGAGCAGAGCAGCGAATGCAGCCCCTCCGAGTCCTGGACGCAGCAGTGGGCACGCAGGGCACTCCCCAGCTACAGCTTGCAGCCGTCCAGCCACCGCGCCAGGGTGTCGGAGTACCGGCAGAGCAGGGACCAGCTGGGCCTGCGGGAGGAGACCGGAGAGGTGTTCAGGAGCGGGCAGCTGAAAGCCTGAACCTAGGGCCTGGCTACATACATGGCCCCTGTCCTGGAGCACCGGAGCTCATGGTGCCGGCTATGGGCTCCCAGAGACCTCCACGCACCGGAGCCTCTGCCCACCACTCGGGCATGAATGCCGCCCCAGCTCGCACGGGAAGCCACACGACTCGACATCTCCCCAGCCTTCACCCTAGACGTGATCAGCTTTCCTGATGCCCGACTTGGACAGAGTGTCACAAGGTGCGTCCTTGGTGCTGCCCTGGGCCCGGGCCCCGCCACCTCTCCAGGGATATGCTCCACTCCTCTTCTGCAATTCCTTTCAGCGCCTCAACCCTGCCTAGGTCAGCTCAGCTGGGGCCCTCCGACCTTTCTGCCTGGTGCCCCAAAGTTGCTGCTCTTATTTGTACTCAGACCAGGCCCTGTCTCCCCCAAGCATCAGGCCTTCTGGGAACCATAAGGAATCCTTCTGTCCCTCAGCAGCGCAGGATCTGGTGGGTCCTCCAGGTGGGGTTCCCCAGCCCCTCATAGCTACGGAACAGCAGAGGACACATACACGCACACGCACACGCGCACACACACACACGCACACGCACACAGTCCACAGCCCATGGCAGACAGTGCAGAAGGGACCCTGGGGCCGTGGGGCCTCTGTCCTGTCCCTTCCTGTGCCACTCTCCACCGCACCTCGGGGACGATGCGGCTGCTGAGGCTGACCACGCGCTCACTCCGCTGGGCCTGAGAGGCGGGAAAGCTGTGCCCGTCAGGCCAGGCCCCACCCCAGTGTCACAGAACAGACACGACCTCGGCCCTCTGCTGCCCGCCCACCCCGGAGGGTCTCCACGCTCACAAGGAGTTGCAGAGCCGGGACCATGCAGGAAAGGGGTTCCAGGCACAGCTGGCGTGAGTGAGGGGACTTCCCCTTTGGCAATCTATCCCAGTAGTGGTGAAAACAGATTAGTGACCCCCGGATCCTGAGACTAACAGCTCATTATTCATAAATAGAAAGCCAGATCCCAACCTCACTTTTTATGCCAAAATAAATTCCAAGAGGCCCCAAGTTTGAAGAACAGAACATAAAATCATAAAAAATTCTGTATGACAAGTATGTGCTAATAAAAAATATAAAGTTTAAAAAGGAGAAGAAAATCATAAACATTCTATATTTCAATCTATTTAAGAAAAAATTTTAAATATAGGGCTTATTTTGTGCCAGACTGTTCCAATATAAAGAGAAACACGGCTCGATTTCTTTGTGATCTTAGACTCTGAAAGACCTTTCCAAGGGAGAGATTTCACAGAAATCACAAAACAAAATATGAAAGATTTGATTCTGTGAAACTAACTATAAAACGCAGGTAGGTGAAAATCTCATAAAGCCAAAATGGAAATAACAAACTTGAGGGAAAATGTTCACCCAGGGAGGACGGACAAAAACCTGAAAGCCCTCGGTGACGAAGCACACATCAAAGCAGAGGAAGAAGACCTGGTCAGAATGTGAGTGAGCAGTTCACAGCGCAAGGGCCAGGAAACGGGAAGACGCCCCTTCTCTACCAGTTTAAAATGCAAAGCAACACAGAATGGCGTCATTTTCTACGTCTTAGTTTCCCAAACTGTGCAAATCTTTACAGTGCAGTGTGGCAGGAGGTCCCTTCTCCAGACTGACCGTTCAGCAAGGACTCTGACTTTTAAAGGCACCAAACAACCTCAACAAATCCCTCATACGAGATTACCCTAAGGACTGGTAGGACGGAGACACTCGAGCCCGGAGCCAGTGGGAGGATTCTCTGGCACCCCGCTGGCATGGATAAACAAGCAGCACCCTGTGTGCTCCTCAGTAGGGACCCCACATCCAGGCGGCCGTACAGTGGCTGTGACAGTGGCAACAAAGATGAGTTGGGAGTGAGAACCCAGAGGCACCAGCTCTGTGACAGGAGAAGCAGGCTGCAGTCATGTGCACTGGGACGCTCTGGGAGTTTGAAGATATTTGTGTGTACATTTTTTCTCTGATTAGGAAGATGTATTAATCATGGTGACCTAAGGTTGCTGCTAAGTAGGAAAAGCTTGGCTTTTTTCTTTTTCTTTGAAATGTAATTAATCGGCCCAGGATATAGCTCAGTAGCATAAGTGCCTGCCTGGCAAGCGCAAGGTCCTGAGTTTGATTCCTAGTACCTAAAATAAAATAAAATGTAATTAACCAAAAATAAAAATATCATGACTGTCTCTTGGGAGTGGCAGCGCTCACAGCCCGGGTTTGCAGAAGACACTAAATAGGCACCCGTTACGTGTCTGCCCCAGGGCTCCGGGCTAGGGACGCAGAAGCAAGGAAAGCAAACACAATCTTGGAATTTAGACAATGCCTTGAAGACAGAAAAGCCACAGCAGAAGGCTGGCCTCTGACACGGAGAGCAGTTTCCTCGCCCCCAGGGCCCGGGGGTGGGGGGGCAGTCAGGGCCCACCGCACTTTCACCAATGAAGCAAGCCCCTCTGCAGATCTGCCCGGCCCCTCTGCCTGACCCTGCTCAGAAACCGTGGGCTTGGGCCACAGGAGGACTGGGCAGCTGGCCCTGGTTGATTTCTGCACAGTGCGGGCAGAGGCCTCCTGTGACAACCGTGCCTGTCTCTCTCGGTAGCCTGTGAAAGCCAGGGCTTAGCACTACACCAGTCTAGGGTTAAGCCTACCTCTGCAGCCTTATTCCGCCTACATTATTCCGGCTCTCCATGTCTGCGTTTCCTCATTTTCACAGTGCAGATAAGAACATCCCCTGTTGTGAGGATTACAGGATGAGGTGTGTGTAAACACACAAAGCCTATATACCCAAGCAGTCAAGAAATTGTGCATAGTTCCTGTTAAAGAATTTCCTCTGTGATGCGATAGCTTCTATTGTGAGATGTATCTGTGGTTTAATAACAACTTTGGGGGTAGGACACATGGATTGCAACATAATCCTCATTTTTAGAACTATTAAGATCTGAAATGTGGCGCCATCTGGAAGCGAGGAAATACAACATTGTTTCTAGATCTAACTGGAGACTACAATGCCCCGCGTCGACCAGGTAGGCCATTTTGAGTCGCAGGATGGGAGGAGAAAAAGCAGGTAAGGTAGCAATTGGCAGCAGCACAGTGTCGGCTGGATAGCGTGGGGCTCCAAGACAAGCAGCATGGATGGAGATGCGGCAGGGAGTGCTGGAAATGCAGGATTTTCGTGTACTGCATTCATTCAGCCATCAGAAGGAACCAGACGCTTGAGCCAGCAAAATTTCCCAACTGGAAATTGGGAAGGTACACGCACACCAGTGGACGTCATCCCGGCAATAATGACCTGGAACAAGAAAGAGCCTCACAGTCTGTCTGCTTGACAAACACTGAACGTGGCTAAATCTGTCCTAGTCCAGAAGAGTGAGGAGGGCAAACCCAGCACGGTGCCCCTGGTAAAGGTTCAGAGAAGAAAACTGGGGCAACAGCCCGAAATTCAGAGGAGTGTTCTTCTGAAAATAGCACTCCGCAGGAGCCAGAAGTAAATTTCATAAAACTGACATCCTCCGTAAGATACAACCAGACGTAACCTCTGAGGAAAGCCACAAGACAGAAGAGAGATTTTCTTTAAAAGACAACAGTTTGAATCTTGACAGTAGGATGGACAAGGTAACAGGGAGTCATAAAGAAATTAAAAATGTAATAACTCAAAGTCAACACGCATTTGTGATTTTTAAAAATCTTTAGTAAACTAGAAATGGGAAACAGCACCCTCAACCTGATCAAGAGTATCTCAGAACACTTAAAACATCACACAGGATAATAAAATACCAAACTCTTACCATTGAGATTGGAAGCCAGGCAAGGATGTCACTGTCATGACTTCTAGTCAGCATTTACCGGAGATCCCAGCCCGTGCAACACGGCAAGAAATAAAACGGTGTTGCAGGGCCAAAGGTGAAACGTAAAATGGTAAAGATTTCAGAAAAAAGGAGAATGTTATAATGATGAAGAATTAGGCACATATTTGTTTAACGATAATTAAAAGGGACAGTGATGATACATTAGATTGTACTAAGACTAACAACTTCTGTTTACATTCAGAAGGTAAAAGATAATCCACAGAATGAAAGAAGATATTTGAAACTCATGTATTCAACTGCAAACTTTTATGTAGAATATGTAACTATATCCTACAAATGAATATGAACAAGACAGACAGCACAAAAGAAAACTCGATAAAAACCCCTGAACAGGACTTCACACACACAACACAGATATCTAAGTGGCCAATGAACATTTGCAAAGGCTCCTGACCTCATTAAAACTGGGGGATGGAAAGTAAAACCTTAAAGCAGCATGACTACACAGTCATGAGGACAGAATAGAAAAGGCCAAATACGGGGAGAAAATAGAGCAACTGAAACCCATAATTACTGGTGTCAGTATAAAAAAAATCTCCCTAGGAAACTGTTGGGTACAACATATCAAATCCAAAAAAGTGTCTCCAGCAATCAGCAATTTTATACGTTGGGATAACCAATGGAAATCTATCTATATCTTCACCAAAGATAAGAATAAAATGTTCATGGTAGCTGTATAAAGTAAAAAGCACCCAAATGCCCACCAAGAGCAGGATGGATAAATTATGTGGTCATAACGGGCATCGAAGCAAGGGGATCTTATGCAGCACGGAGAATGAATGAATTACACATAAACACAGCAATGTAACATTGACAAGAATAATACAATATAATATACAATGTATATGACAAGTGCAATACTGACTGAAAGAAGGCAGACACAGGCCAAACCACTCACACATTTTAGGAGATTTCCTCTGCAAATATCTGGCTTAAGTGGGGATTCGAGGTGCAGGTTTTTTGGCAGTGATTATACAGCAATTGCTTAATATGCCAACCATGTAAAGAGCTCTTTTCAAAGAGTATGGTGACTTAAATTTTATAAGTCAGCCAAAGACAGGGAAAAAAAATCACAAATTAATATCAATATACAACAAACGTAGGAGAAAACACCTTGATGAGGTGTCATAAAAAGCAAAACAAGATACAATAAAATTATTATTCACCTTTCAAGTGGCAATGTTTTTGATTGGTGAGGGTAGCATAAATAGACATTTTAAGGTATGGTAGAGACATATAAATTGTTACAGTCTTGCAGGACAGCCATTTCATAATATGTACCAAGAACCTCAAAAGTATTCAAAAACCTTGTACGAATGTATGTGGAAGGACGATTGGAGATGTACACAGACTGCTTTTAAAGATGATCACCCAGCATCCTGCCTAACTCCACAGCAATGCGGGGCTGGGGGAGTGCACTCCAGGGGATCCCTGTGAGAACGCCTTCCTTCCTTCTGCGGCCTTGGGCTGCAGAGCGCAGAAGTGTTCTGCTACTTAACTGGGTGAGGAGGAGCCCGCAGTTCGGGCTGAGATCCGCAGCTGCCAGGATCGGTCAAGGTCACGGCTAAAGATATCATATTGGCGTGACTGTCATGAATACCAGCAAAGAAAGAGGCACCACTTACCAGGCTCCCAGCCCACGTTTTCCTTTCACAATTTTCTTGACACATTTGATTGTCTCCTTTAAATTTGGATTCAGTAACTCTGTGGAGAAAATACAGTGGCTGATTCCACACCATCCTGTAAAGCTAAGGGTGAGGTCAGGAAGCACTGGGGCTCATGCGAAGCAGCCTCCAAGTAATTCCAAGAATAAACCCACCTCTGGATTTTTCTCAGACAGCAGAATGAAGTTATCTTTTCACCAAATCCATTGGATTTTTCCTTGTTTTCTCCTAGTAATCTTTTTATTCAAATTATGTGTATTTGGACCATTCACCCGCATTAGGTGACCTGGCGGTGGAGATTCCCCGGCAAGCCCCACACCCGGTCCCCGCCCTCCTGTGGCCTGGCAGGAATCAGCACCGCACAAGCTCCATACATCAAGACCTGCAGGGGGCGGTGCTGCTCGGGACAGGCGTCCACACTGGCGTGACATACCTCAGTGGATAGGAAAGGGGGTTGAGAGTCATCCCCAGGAGGAGGCTGTCCCAACACAGGGAGCAGTGTGAGGGGCCCAGCAGAGTCCCGGGGACCGGCGTGTGTATGCCCCCGACACACTTCTCGTAAGACACGAATGCCGGGTCTGCTGTGTTTCCCTCCTGGCCCTGACTGCAGGGCAGCTCAGGGTGACACGGAATGACCCAGCAAGTAACCAGGCTCTGCAAGGAACGTGGCTGTCTCCCCAGTCATTCACCGTGGGCGCTGCGTGACCCTGCACACCTCACACTGCAGGGCCCAGGGCAGGGTGCACGCTGTCCCCAACACCTAGACGAGGCTCAGGAGCTAACTTCCCACATGGCAGTGGCAGGGCCCCCCACATCCTTCCCTCCCCACAGACCTGACTCTCCTGGTCTCCTGAGCCCGGAGACTGCCCACAGAGCCGCCACAGACCGGGTTTACCCCACGCCACTGCAGAGGCTGCCAGCTTTGCTCCCACCCCTCTCCGCCTCCTGAACACCAGCCAGGGAGCCAAAAGTGCCAGCAGGTCCCCAGCCGGGGGTGACAGAGGCTTCCTGGGGTGCACTGCTCCCGTGGGGGATGAGGCCTCTGCCGTGGGGGACAGCTCGGGTGCTGTGCAGCCTCCCAGGAGGGCCTCAGGGAGGGGCCTCACAGCTGAGGCTCCCCCCGGCTCCCCACTTGCCAGCATGGGCCGTGGCGGGCATGTGCTTAGTCTCCCCGGCCTCCGTCTCTCCACGTAGAGAAAGGGTGTGATCAGTACCCAGCTCACAGCTCACGGGGCCGCTAGGAATATCAGGTAGTTCCCAAGGGGCTCAGGGGCACCTGGCAGACAGCAAGCACCAGAGCGACCACGCCAGAGGCCTGCGGTTAGTGGGTGCCCGATAAATGCTTACAGGAGGGAATCGTGGGCAGCACCTCCTCCTGCCACAGGTGCTGGGTACCCCAGAAGTGGCGGGCAAGCTCCCCTTGGGGTAACAGCTGTGTGCACCCCAGTGAGGTCCTTGCCTTTCAGAGAGGCAGCGTCTGTCTCCGTGAGGAGCAGATGGTGACGTCAGATCCAGGAGCCCTCTCTCTGCCTCCACTCTACTGGCTCTGAGGGGGACAGGGGTTGCAGCACCCTTCCGCGCCTGACCCCTGCTCTGCCCCCCTGGATGGGGCTCTCTGTCACCCCAAAACTGCTCAGCCTCCGGAGACCCCCCGTGGGTGTGGCCCCCTCTGCTCCTCCAAAGCTGTGTGCTCCAGCCCCCGGGGGGAGGCCGCACCCCAGCACCCTGGCGTGGGGCAAAGCATCCCCACCTGAGCAGGCCACGTGGCAGAGGTTCCTGCCCGGCTCACACCACTTGTTGTCGCGGATCTGGAAGAGGCCGTAGCCCAGGGAGTCGTCCTGCTCGTTCTCGTACACCGCCGAGGGGTTGAACTTGCTCTCAAAATACGCCAGGCACACCCCTAGGATGAAGCGGGTGTGAGGCCGGCTGGGAGAGCCGGAGCAGGCTCCCGGGCAGTGGCCGAGGGGCCGGGCACTCACAGTTGGCGAGGCTGTAGCCCTCAAAGTAGTCCAGGCCCCCTTCGTGGAGCTTCCGAGCCACCTCACAGCGCCCCAGGATGCGGGCGCCGCCAGGAACCACCAGGCAGCCCAGGAGGAAGAGCAGCGCGGGCGCCCGCATCGTCATCCCCAGGCACCTGCACAGCTGCTGCCCGGGTCCCAACACCGGCCCGGGGGAAGACGCGCCCTGCGGGCAGAGGACACCGCTCAGCATGCTCAGAAAACGGGGGCCCCACCATCCCGAGGCCTCCTGATTCTCGGCCTGTGTCACTGTGTACCTGGGCCCCTTGACCTCCACTGCATTTTGTTTTTAATTTTTTAAAAATTTGTTAGTGCATTGTGCAGCACTTAATGACCACATTCCTCCTGGGGACTTGGTGCCCGCACACTGCATCTGAATTTTTTTATTTCTCGTTCCCTTCCTCCTCCCCCCTCTGCCATCTCTTGGTCCTTTACCCCTTTGAAAAATCTCTATCTCCCTGTTTCCTAAACTCTATCTTTTCTTTTGCTGTTTGATTTTACACTTTGGGCTTCTTATATAAGAGAAAGCTTGCGATATTTAACGTTACGATCTCAAGGTGTACCCATTTTCCTACAAACGACTCAAGATTATCCTTTATGGCCAAGTAGTATCCCTTTAGTGACCCTGACAGGTAACTGTCTCATTTCTTTGTGTGTGTGTGTGTGGGGGGTGGTTTGTTTTGTTTTTTGGTACTGGGAATCAAACTCAGGACCTTGTGCTTGCCAGGCAGGCACTGCACTGCTGAGCTATATTTCCAGCCTAAGGGTTGGTTTTTTGAGACAAGGTCTCACTATGTAGTCCAGGCTGGCCTTGAACTCCCAGAGATCCTTCTGCCTCAGCCTCTCAAGTGCTAGGATTATAGGCATGCGCCACCACACGCGGCTGTCTTGTTTTGTGACCTGCCCCGTTCTTCAGACTAGAAGATGCAACCGGAAGTCAGGATGCATCTACTTCCTGCCATGCCCATAGCCCTTGGCACTGTGGTACACATCTACCCATTGGGTAGCTGACTGCCCCCTTGTGTCATCACCATTCCCACATGTGTGAGACCCTCCGTGGGTCACCTGCATGGAGGGTCCTCAGCCTGGGCACAAGGGCTGAAAACCTTTTGCTCCGGGGATTGCCCTATGTGGGGCTACTCTTTAGGACAGACCTGGCCACGAGATGCCAGTAGCTGTCCTTCCTCATCCGTGACAACAGCAGGTCCTGGGGGACAGAAGGCTCTCTGCAGAGTGACGCAGACTAAGTGCATAACTTGCGTGAAAGTAGGAATAAGTGAATATGCTCAGGAGCCGGAAGACCTCCGCCTGTGAGGAGGTGTTGAAGCCTCGGGCCACCTGGCGAGTGCAGATGTGACCCTGCACAGGCGCAGGAGCCCAGAGGACCTGGCACCTGCTACAGTGGTGGGAACCTGTGGCACACACTGCAGGGGGCTGTTTGTTTCCATCAAAAGTTCTAAAAGTTTCCCTAACTCTAATCTAGGAGCTCAGGCGTGGCTCTCAGACAGCCTGGGTCCAAATGCCCTCAGCAACCCCAGCAGTGACCTTAGACAACTGCTCCGTGCCTCAGTTTCCCCATCCATAACAGGCTAAAATAGCAGTTGCCTGGTTATGTTGAAAAGGAAGCGAGTTAGGTCCACAAAGCCCCAGGTTCCCTGCAAACATTTGCTTTGCTGAGCCCTGCCTGCACCCCGTCTCCAGCTAGTGTAAACTTGCACGCATGTGCAGAAGTCTACCTGCGAACTCGGCCTGCAGCGCGGTCCCGGAGCCCAGGCCCCAGCTCAGTGGGAGAGGCCTGTGTGCCCTGCTTCCTCTGCCCTGCTGTGCGTTCAGTGGGGGGCTTGTCCCAACCCACCGCACCATCCCCTCTGCCCGTCTGGCCTGGGCCACCTCCTCAGAGTCCCCTCACTGCCTCCTCCCCTCCGTTCTCCTCTGTCCCCTACGCCGGTCTCCACACACATCGCAAAGCCCTTTGAAACCTCTGCTCACCGGCTAGCCTGCCCGTGCTGTAGGCCCGTATCACCTCCGCCTGGCTTGTTTTGTGGGTGTTGTTGAATGAATCAGAGAGCTGTGAGTGAATGTGCTGTCCCCCGCCTGTCCCCCATTCTGCCCACCATCTCCCCTTACCAGTCCTGGCTCCCCACAGCCCTGGGCACCTTCCTGGGCAGGAGAAGTGGCCCCTACGAGCCTCAGCATCTACCCAGGGACAGTGCTTGGCCTGCTCTCGACTCCTGGAGTTTCCAGTGCCGCTGCCTTAATAACTCAGTCACCTTCTCCAGAAAGCTTCAGAGCTTGCCATCCGTCCCCATGACCAGCGTTTCTAGAACCTGCTCTATGACATCAGCTGCTGGGCACCAGAACACTCTGAAAAGGAAGGGTCTGTAACTGTTGGAACTGTGTTCATTTTCTGCTGCTGCCATCACGAGCTACCAGGCATGGGGAGGCTGGCGTCACACGGGTCAGTCATTCTTCACAGCTGTCTACGTCAGAAGTCCGGGGGCCTCACAGGGCTAAAGTCAAGAGGCTGCAACCTCTCTGGGCACTCCTGGGCACGTCCGCGGCCCTCTCCCTCAGGGGCTGGCAGCAAGAGCTTCTCCGTGACGACGTTTCCTGCGGGCTGTCGGCTGTGTGCTCTTCTTTGCTCCACTGTCTTCTCTGTCTCCAAAGCCACCCAGGGAGCCTCCTCCCCAACGGCACCTGCTCTCCCATGCCCAGGCTCTGGGCTACACCGGTCCCCCCAGACTCAGGTGCTTAATCAGATCTTCAAGTCTTTCTGCGGGAACAGAGATGTCGGGCCGGGGCCAGGGCAGGGACACCTTCGGGAGCCAGGACCCACCAGACACAGTGGTCCTCGGGTCCCACCAGACCCCATCACGGGAGCAAGGACAGCCCCTCATTTAGCTCTCCTTCTCCAAGGGCCCAAGGTCAGGTAACATGAGAGCAGCCGGCTGGTTATCTGTAAGGTCCCTTCTAGCTCCAAAAGTTAAGAGATGTTGAGCAGATTGAGAGCAAACCGGCCTTTTGAAAGCACAGACGTGCTCCGGTTGCCTCCATGAAGATGGGAATTTGCTCACTAATATACAGTGATAAAGTGGGTGTGATGGCACACACCCGTAATCCCAGCACGCAGGAGGCTGAGGCGCGAGGCTTGCTGGTCTACATAGTGAGGTCAAGGCCAGCCTGAATTACAGATTCCATCTCAAAATCAATCAGTCAATCAATAAAATGATAAAGTGGAGAGTCGTAGAAGAAAAAAAGGTCAACAGGAGCCATAACCACTGAGCGTAGGCCCAAGTGTGCAAACCTGCCCGGCCATCTTCAGCACAGGTCTTCTCCCAGACACAAGTCACCCACTAGGGCACCATCTCAACATCTGGTGTGGATTACAGGGCCCCATACTCTATTTCTAGTTTCTGGCTCTTTAAAGGGAAGCAAGAATTTGAAAACGGGCAAAGGAAGCAACGTCACCCGCATTCTGGATTTTCAAGATTTTGCAAGCTGACCCGCCACTTGCTCCTGCAGCCAAATACTTTTTAGCAAAGCACTCAGCTTAGCTCTGCCTGTTACCTCGGGCTCTGGGGAACAGCTCCCCTTGTCTTCGATGTAGACAAGACGGTAGACCGTGGGCTCTGAAGCTTTCTGGAGAAGGTGACTGAGTTATCAAGGCAGCTGCAGCCAGCTACAGTTTTGATATCGGTGCGGACGCCGATGTCCACTTGCCTGAATCCTGTGACTGGGTTTGCAAACCCAGCAGTCCTCGGGCGCCCTGGTTACAGGGCCTCCTCTGTCCCCCCAGCTCTGCGGATTCCATTCCTGTGTGAGCCTTGGGGTGCAGGCAGCAGGTATCCCGAGTGTGCCGGTGGGCACCGAGCCAGCTGCTCTTGCCGCCACCCTCCGAGGCTGGGCAGGGAGACAGCAGAGCGGTTTGGGTAGGGGTTGGTGGCCGACTGCAGCCGCAGGCCAAACCCAGCCCGCTAACTGTTTTGATGGCGTTTTGCTGGAACACATCCAGGCCCCATCGACTTCCTGCTGTCTAATGGCTGCTTTCGGCCTCAGCAGCAGACGTGAGGACTTGAGACAGGGACAGAAAAGTCAGGAGCACCAAGATGTGATCTGCCAGCCCTCTGCCAAAACAGTTTGCTGAGCCCTGGAGCAGGGACTTGGACAGATTCGTCTGGCTCTGGGCTTGCGCCCTGCTTTTGCTGTGACCCTCCCTGTGGCCTGGCAAAGGTCACTGCTCCTTCCCACACCTCGGTTTCTTCACCTGCGAGAGGGCTGTTGTGAGGCTAAAGTGAGACCGTGTGCCTGAGCTCAGAGCCACCACCTGGCAGGGGAAAGGGGTGGCTCTAGGGCTCCCGTGCTAATCACGCCAGGGTAGAGGCTTTGCTGGTTCAAGGGGAAACTTCCAGGAGGCACACGGATGAACCTGGGACTGATGCCCGCCTCTCGCCTGGCTCATGACCTGGGCCAACCTAGGCTCAGGCTCCCTCCTGCTGAGGCCTGGGTGTCTGGCCTTGAGGACCTTGCAGAGATCTCAGATACAGGCGGAGCATAGGACAAGGGTCACAGAAATGGGCAGACCAAAGTCCAGCCAAGGCAGAAGGAATGCCAAGAGTTCAAGGCCAACCTGATCTATTTAGCAAGACTCTGTCTCAAAACCAAAAAAGAAACAGCCCATTGCAGGAAGGCCCATCTGTGAAGAGGCCAGTTGGGACAGAAACATCCCCTCAGCCACCGTGGCAAAGCATGGGAAGGGAGGGCTTTGCCCTGCGAGGGGTCTGTTACCGAGTCCTGGGGTGCTGTGGGCTCCTTCTAGAGATTCTTCCCAGATTCTTGTCCTGAACAAAGAGCTAGACAAAACAAGTGCAAAAGGAACCAAGGTTTTATACTTACTAAAGGTAGAAAGGAAAGCATGCTCTGCAGAGTGAGAATGGGCAGTGATAGGGCTTGCAGTGGCCAGGAGCTCAATGGCCACCACCTTTGTGTCCCCCACTCCAGAGGCTGAGGTCAGATCTAGGTGTCCTACCACAAGCCTACTTGGTCTCACACCACAGAATGAAGATTGCACTCTTTGATTGGTCCTAGGAACACAACTTGGAACGTCTCCTGTGCATGTGTCCTGGATTTCTGTGATTGACAGGTCATACTTGCTTGCCCAGCCAGATGGCCATGCCAGAATCTCCTGCCTTAACTTTGTACCTTACGCCCTGTCCAGGTGAATCCTCAGTCTCCCCACCTTTGCCTCTTCACTGGCCTCAGGCAACTGCAGCTGCTCACTGGGAACCCTGCTGCCACCACACAGCCTCATTTTCCAGGATGAGTGTGTCTTAGTTATTTTCTCATTGCTGGGACAAAATATCCAACACCCACAAGTTAAAGGGGGAAAGATTTATTTTGAATCACAGTTTGTAAAGGTTTTAGTCCGTAGTTGGCTGGCTCCAAGGCAGGGTGGCGTTGTAGTGGGGCATGACAGAGGAGAAACCGTCCATGTCAAGACAGGCAGGAAGCAAAGAGTAGGATTATGGGAGTAGAAGGACATACTGTACAGACATCCTTCCAGACCCCACCCAGGGTGACCCACCTCTTCCCACCAGGCTTTATCTCCAACATCACCCCCAGCTATGCACCCATCAGTGGACTAATGCAGCCCCACACACCCGTGACCCAGCCCCACACACCCATGACCCAGCCCCAC